CATCAGCAAGATGGCAGAATCAGAGATAGAGAATCTTTCCCCTTCTCAGAGTAAGTAGACACCTATCCATGAAAAAAAATCCCACAAGAATTGGGAATTATAGTACCATGAAGACAAACAGTAATACAGAATTCCAAATATGGACAACTGCATAGAAAGGATGACAGAAAACTGGTTGAGCAAACACATATAAAGATACGTAAGTTCAAAAAAGGGTTAATAACTAACTAACTAAGGAAATAAATAAATAAAGGAAGCAAGGATCAGCCCTAACTGGTTTGTTCAGTAGATCCTGAGGACTAAAAGGTCCAAGGTTCCATTTCACTCAAGGGCACATGCCCAGTTTGTTGTGGGTTCAGTCCCCAGAAGGGGGCATGCAGGAGGGAGCTGATCAGTGACACTTTTTCATCATTAATGTTTCTTTATCACTCTCTCACCCCCTTCCTCTCAGAAATTAATAAAAATATATTCTTTAAAAAGAGGGTCAACCCTAGCCAGTTGGGCTCAGTAGATAGAGCATCCGCTTGTCGACTGAAGGGTCCCAGGTTCGATTCAGGTCAAGGGCACATGACCGGGTTGCAGGCTCAGTCCCAGCTGGGAGGAATGCAGAAGGCAGCCAATTAATGATTCTCTCTCATCACTGATGTTTCTATCTTTCTCTCCCTCTTTCTTGCTGTCTGAAATCAATAAAAATATATTGTAAATAAAAAATAAAACTAAATGGTCAGCGATACCACTATCAGCCACTGTGCTTCTGTTCTCATTGATCCTATTGGCCTAACTGTGCCAGTGGCACAAAGAGAACCTCCTGTGCTTTTGCAGCCCAACCCAACAAACTGCAGATTTCAAATCCTCGCATACATAAGGGACGCACTCAAGAAGCAGAATCAGGTTCGGAGGAAGCAGGAGCTGGACATGGCTGGGCTGGTGATGTGGTACCGCTGTACCAGCAAACCCACAGGCAAGTCCACTAGATCCAGCCTCACATGGGATGGTGGGAGAAGGCGGACAAGCAGTCTGTGCGCTTGGTAGAGGGCGAAATCTAGGCAGGCATACCAGATATTCAGCCACCAAGAACGCCTGGAGATTTTCTCTAGCAAGGAGCTGCCCAACAAGACAGAACGCCAAACTTCGTGTTGCTGAGCCTGCCCCCGTGAGGCTGGGACGACCCCTGTGAGGCTGAGGCGGCCCCGGTGGGGCTGAATCGACCCCTGTGGGGTTGGGATGGCCCCGGTGAGGTTGGGACGGCCCGGTGAGGGTGAGACGGCCCGGAGAGGCTCAAACGGCCTCAGTGAGATTGAAATGGCCACAGTGTGGCTCACACGGCCCCGATGAGGGTGAAACAGCATCCGTGAGTTTGAAACGGCCCCAGTGAGACTGGAATGGCCCTGGTGAGGTTGAGATGGCCCCAGTGAGGTTGAGACGGCCCAGGTGAAGTTGAGAAGGCCCCTGTGAGATTGAAACGGCCCCCATGGGGCTGGGACAGCCCCGGTGAGGTTGGGATGGCCCCGGTGATGTTGGAAGGCCCCGGTAAGGCTGCTATGGCCCCTGGGAATCTGAGAAAAATACCATATGATCTCACTCATTTATGGATAATAAAAACTATTATAAACTGATGAACAAAGATAGATGCAAAGGCAGAGAAGCATTGAATAGACTGTCAAACTACAGTGGGAAGCCTGGGGAGGATTGTGGGGGGGTAAGAGATCAACCGAAGGACTTGTATGCATGCATATAAGAATAACCAGTGGACACAAGACACTGGGGGTTAGGGGAGGACGGGGGGATGTCAAGGGTGGGGGGAAGGATACATGTGTAATACTCTTTGTAATACTTTAAGAAATAAAACAAAATAAAATGTAAACAAACAAAAAACACAATAAAACCCAAAGAAATAAATTCAACCCAAATGTGAAACATCTGTACAGTGAGTACTATAAGACAGTGATGAAAGGAATGAAAGAAAACACAAATAAGTTGAAAGACAACCTATGTTCAAGGATCTGAAAATAAAATATGGTGGAGATAGCTATCGTACACAAGGAAAACTACAGATTAAATGCAATCCCAATAACTCCAATGGTCTTTTACTAATATATGAATAGGAAATCTGGAAATGGAATCAAAAGACCTCCATTAACAAAAGCTATCTTTTTTTAATAATATATTTTATTGATTTTTTATGGAGAGGAAGGGAAAGGGATAGAGAGTTAGAAACATCGATAGGAGAGAAACATCATCAGCTGCCAACTGTACACTCCATACTGAGTATGTGCCCATAACCAAGGTACATGCCCTTGACCAGAATCGAACCTGGACCTCTTGAGTCCACCGGCCGAGGCTCTATCCACTCTGGTGGCATCACACTTCCTGACTTCAATTTATTACAAAGAGAAAGCAAGCAAACAGTATGTTGCTGGAGAAACACAGTCACATACATCAACAGAAAAGAACAAAAAACACAAAAATAAGCCCAGGCACAGACTTTCAAGTATCTTTGACAAAGCAGCAGCCACAGAAGACGGGAAAGATAGTTTCTTCAATGAATGGTGCTGGTATAAAGAGACATTCACATGTAAAACAACAAACTGGACACCACTGATAACATTTAACTCAACATGCAGGACAGAATTAAATGTCAGCGCTAACACTTAAAACTTGTCAGGACAACCTAGAGAAAAAGTACTGGAGGTTTGTTTTGGACAGAATTTTCTGAATGTGACACCAACCACCACACAAAATAGAAAACGTAAACAGTCCACACTGCAACAAATAAAGAAAAGTACCATCTTCACTGTACAACAGCAATAAACAAAAAGCAATGAAAGGCAATCTAGAGAACAGAAGAAAATACTTGCAAACCATATGAAGGAATCCCTTCGAGATATTGTGGATTCAGCTATGATCAGCACAATAAAGCGAATACTGCGACATAGACAGAAATTCACAGAAATAGTTGGAGTTCCGTGGGAATAATGAAGGCATGTTAATACTATACTGCAGGCTAATAACAATGCAATCAATGACTCTGTCTCAAAAGCAAAGTCTATATAACTTCATTAACAATATTTAATTGCTAAGCACTAATCACAAGCATCTGAGCTTGCTAGAAACATGGTGGCACTAGACCTGCTGGATGCAGGGTTGCCAAAAACATGGACTTTGCAGAAAATCGGGTGTGCAGGAGTAATATCTGCAAAGCACTATTAAGCACATGCAAAAATATGTGTTCCTGTATGCCGTAAGCCATTAATATATAAAATGTACAAGGTATCCAAAATCCTCTATTAAAAAAATACAGTTAATAAACAAGGTAAGGATGTGGAGAGTTTTTTAAAAATATATACACATGACCAATAGGAATACAGTGGTGCCTTGACTTAGGAGTGTCCCAACTAACGAGTTTTTCGAGATACGAGCCGTCTCTTGGCCGATTTCTTGCTTTGAGTTGCGAGCTCAAATTCGGGTTACGAGCCAGCTTTAGATACCCCACCGCTAGTTGGCGCATGAACGTCACAGTGAACGCCACAACATCAGCCCTGCATCACGTGTCTTACTCGTTCACTTTAAGCGGTTAGCTCTTAGTTGAAGCATCAGTGTTGTGCTCGCATTTGTGCTTGCACTTATTTTGCAAAACTTCGTTTTTTTCAACCATGGATCTGAAGAAAGTAAGTGCGAAGGACAGTGCTGAGAAGAAGAAGCAGATGATGTGCATTGAATTAAAGAAAGAAAATATCGAAAAACATGAGCAAGCTGTGTGTGTAATCGACTTGGCGAAGCAGTACAAGCGTAGCACTTCTATGATCTGCACCATACTGAAGCAGAAGGAGTCGATACAGGCTATAACTTCAGCCAAGGGCGTTAAAATAATGTCTAAACAGCAGACATTTATCCATGAAAATGTAGAGAAGCTGCTAATGGTGTGGTTAACGGATAAGCAGCTCGCAGGAGATACCGTGAGGAAGGCTATAATCTGTGAGAAGACACGAGCTATTTATGCTGATTTGCTGCAGCAGACCCCAGGCACTTCAATGGACGAGGCACTGGGCGAGCTGTTTGAAGCCAGTCGGGGCTGGTTCGAAAATTTTAAAAAGAGGACCGGAATCCACTCCATTGTCAGACATGGTGAGATAAAGGAAATGTTGGGAATGTGGGAGAAACTTTCAGACTTTATTCAAAAGAAACACCCAGAAAAAATTGCAACTGGGCGTGTGATGGAGCTATTTAACGACACTTGCCTAACTCATTTCAGAAATATTCTGAAAGGGAGGATGAAACAGATCTCATTGGACAGGTTTTTATCAAAAACTCCTGTAGATGAATGTGATGAAAGCGTGACGAAAAAGGCAAAAATCTGCAAATAAGATTCAGTTATTCAGTTCAGCCTTTCTCCTCCAACTCCATCAGCATCTTTAAGTCGTTTGATCTCCAAGGTAAATGTTGTACATTAAACTTAATAAAACAAGTTTATTGCACTACATTCTATTGTTTAGTATTGTGTTTTTATACAATATTCGTTATTTTTAAATACATTTTTCTTATTTAAAAACATTTAACAAAACAACTGCGGTGTTTTTTGGGTGTCTGGAATGGATTAATGGCATTTCAATTCATTGTAATGGTGAAAATTGATTTGACATACGAGTAATTTGAGTTACGAGCTCCGTCACGGAACGAGTTGAATTAAACTCGTAAGTCAAGGCACCACTGTATAGAAAATGCTTTCCTCACTAATCAAGGTGGAATCCTTTAAGCTTCCTGCAACACTACCAACCACAAGCCCTTCCCTGTGAATTTAGTGCAGCGGGGATTGTTGGAGCTTCAGAAATAGAAGGGAGCAGAGGCAACAGACCAACCCACCCCAGGACAGCAACTACCCAGAAAACTGGAAAATGAAGCAGTATAACAGTCTACATGGGAAGACAGAGCTCACCCTAGGGGCTGGGCCCTGGGAAATTGCAAAGCCAAGTCCAGGTCAATGGTGACAGTGAGGGTCTTACCCAGCGAGGATATAAGTTCAAAGTTTTCCAGCATCACATTCAGGTACAGCTGTCTCTGACCCTCATCAAGGAGGCTCCATTCCTCTCTGGAGAAGTACAGGGCAATGTCCTCAAAGGTGACGCCAACCTGTCAGAATTGGGACAATTGAAACCAGAGCTGCCTTTCTGAGAACCAGTAATCCTACTGCTTACACACCTTCCCCCCCTCAACCTCCTCCAGGGCACCCGGTTAGTGTGGACTCCAGGCCCTAATGCCAGTGCAGGCTGTTCTCTCATCACAGTCCCATTACTCACTGTGATGGCCCTCAGCAGAGCAGCTGGGTTGGTGGGAAGGATTGGGGGAGGGGAGGGTAGAGAGCAATGCCATTTAAGGTCTGGGCGATGCCTGTAGGGCCCCAGCCTTCCTGCCAAGCAACACCACTGCAGTCTCCTAGATCCTGCCTCCAAGACAAAGCCAAGCGAGGGTTTATGCTTCACCTTTAAGTCCCCACAGCAGGTCCCGGGACCATCAGCTCACACTTCCTCCAGATGTGCACACCACTGGGTAATGTTTACCCCCTTCCCATGTTCAGATCCCAGGTTCACTCCCTCAGCTCTCCCCGCTTCCTGCTCCAATGCCACTGGGTGTCGCTGGACTCACCCATGAACTTGGCATATGGCGTGTAGAGAGCTTGTCTCCCAGCCGGATCCAGGCCCACCCCAGGTCCCTGACGGACCCACAGCCGGGAAAGCCCCAATGAGTCTGTGACGTCCTCCCTGCAGCCTCTGATCTTTCCGTCAATACTCACAGCCACATCCTCAGCGACATTCAGATGCAAGTCACCCCTGTCCTCTCTGCCCTGCACTTGCTGTGTCCTCAGAAGCCACAACACTCCTCTCTCCCCTCCACCTTCCTCACGGTCCTCCACGCGGGACTGAGCTGCAGGACGGGACAGGCGCCCTCACCCGGGTTTGTCCACTTCAGCTTAAGGGGACGGTGAGGGTCCCGGGAGACAAGAACTCACCTCAGCCCGTCTCCTCAGCGGGGGCGCCGCCATTGCCCTCTGTGGGCTGAGCGGGGCGTAAGCAGCGGGAGTAGAAGCCGCTGCAGGAATGGCGGTCCCTCTCCCGGCCCTGGGGCGGGTCTGGTGGCGACTCCGAGCTTCAATCCCAAGTGTGAGCTGTGGGCACCACTGGAGGCTCCCACCATGGGCTGTGAGGCGGGGAGCACCACTCTCCGGCCTTCTCCACGGGACTGTGCGCCCAGGAAAACCTCACTGCTTGAGACAAAAACTTAAGAAGACAAATCCCCGCCAGGAGGACTGCAAGTCCCGCCCTACAGAAAGGGCCAAATGGCAATGCCTTCCCTGAGTCCCCATTGGCTCAGCCTGGTGAATTCCATGCGTGGCCTTCTGGGTAATGTAGTTTCTCCGCTCCAAGGTCAGGTTCTGGTATTTCTCAATTGACTAATGGACCGGATTCATGAGCAAATAGCCCAAGAACACACAAAGTACACTAAGGATCCTCTAGCGCCTTCAGTGGAGGTGATGTCTGGCGCAAGTTTCTTTCTCAAGAACCTGGGTGGCTGGTTTCGCATATCTTTCTTACAGGACCTGCTCTTTCTGAATGGCAGGCATTGTTTGTGCATTCATGACTTTTAGCATGTGCCTCCTTCAGGCCATATGAAGCTGGGGGAGGTTACTGAAGTCTCTAACTTGATCTTGAAGTATGATAGCAATCATCGCAGGTAGAAACTATAGTTTAACTGTAAGCGTGCTGTTTGGCTTTTGTACTTATTTGCTTTTATTTTGATTTTCTGAATGAAATAAATTATCCCATTCGATTAAATACCTATTGATTGCAATGTGAATATCACATGGGTTGTGATCATACTGGTCTTAGAAAACACGTTTTCCTTTACCTGGGAAGGACAGCACGATTATCCCAGGTCAGAGGGCTCCAGTTAATGTGTCCCTGTTGACTCAGTGTTCCAGAGACGCAAAAACTGTAATTTAGATAACATGCATAAGTCTGACCAGGTTCCTCATTCCAGACCCAAGGGCTCTAGATAATGTTCTTCTGTCAATTCAGTGATCCAGAGACCCAAAACTGTAATTTAGAAAACATGCTGCCTCTGCTTCTGTAAACTGCTTTTTGCAAATCAGGTTCCTCATTCCAAACCCTGGGATGTAATCAATACCTCTGTGATCTTTGCCTATATAAGTCTGGTTTGGCGACCATCTTATTACTATGAGATTTGGGGAATGGCCGCTCATAGTCCCCGATTGCAATAAATGTGACTCTTTAATTAGACTTCGTGAGGCGTCCTTCTGTGATTTGTGGGGTACATTACAACATTCTAACCTGCCTCCATTCAATCCATTATACAAAGTTAATGTCACAAAACAGAAAATCATATTTAAGAGCATCTGCTTCTGATGCCACCGGAAGTGTCAGCTCTGCCTGGGCTGCAGTGTGGATAAGATGGCCAAGAGACATGTGAAAAATGCTCCAAGTGACTGATCATCAGAGAGATGCAAATTAAAGCAACAATTAGAACAACCTCACAACTGTCAGAATGGCTGCCATCAGCAAATAAACAAAGTACAAGTGCTGGGGAGGATGTGAAAAAAAGAGAACCCAGTTCATTGCTGGTGGGAATACAAACTGCTACAGCCATTATGGACATCAGTTGGGAGTTTTTGAAAAAAATTTAGTATGGAACTGCATTTGATCCAGTGATTCTACTTCTAGGAATATATCCTAAGTAACCTGAAACAATCAGATAGAAAGTATGCACCACTCTGTTCATAGAAGCACAATTTACAATAGGAAAGGTCTGAAAACTGCCTAGGTACCCATCAGTAGATGAGTGGATAAAAAACTGTGGTAGCCCTAACCGGTTTGGCTCAGTGGATAGAGCGTCAACCTGCAGACTGAAGGGTCCCAGGTTTGATTCCAGTCAAAGGCATGTACCTTGGTTGCGGGCACATCCCCAGGATGGGGTGTGCAGGAGGCAGCTGATCGATGTTTCTCTCTCATTGATGTTTCTAACTCTATCCTTCTCCCTCCTTAGTATATGGACACGACTCAAAAAAGAGTAACAGGCCGAAATGGCAAACACCATCATCTGAAAAGCCAACTTAACCTACAATCTAAAAATGTTGTGTGTGGAGAGTCAGCGTAGATTGTCAGGAAAAGCACAGTAAGGACCTCAGTTATGGCCCAGTGTGTTGTGCACTGTGGTGAGGGGTTGTCCTCAAAAGGACTCTGTTCCAATCCAAGGACCAATGGTGCAAACACAGGAGACTGGGAAGGAGGATGGCAGTCCACAACATGACCGGGCTGAAGGGAAAGCATGGTGAGAGCCACTGTCTCAGCCAGTAGGGATATATCACACAGAATCACATGGCAGGGGGTCCTGTGCATGAATAAGAGGTGAGCACCCGTCCAATGAGACCAGAATCATGTAGGACTCCAGCATCACTTCCGAATATTAGGTCTCAAAATTCATGTCAAATCGTACCCTCTCCTGAAGGGTGAGTGTCACTGTCACATATGAAGGGTCAAACTGAAGCATGAAATTCACCCCAGTAAATAGAATGGCAGCATGACACCCAACATGTGGGCACAAGTGCAGAGATCCAGCCCTAATTACCGAGGTCTCCTGAGGGCTAGACATCTGAGGTACAGACTGTGTCTGACGCTGGAGAAAATAATAGATAAAATCCAGCTCCTTGAATCTGACACTTGTCTGTGGTGTAAACTTGGGGAGCTGACTTCATTTCTGACACTGAACGTATTCAGCAATTTGGTATGGGATGCACCACAATGAGACCTGAGTGGAACAGCACCTGCCGCCCTAGAGCAAAGTCAGTGGCTTCTTATAGGTCCCATTTCTCACTAAAATGCACCCAAAGACAAAGGTTCTTGCGTGCATCCGGGGAGTGAGGAGTGCCTGCCTGGGAAGGTCTTTGCAGGGAGAGGATGGAGTTGCTAGAGCCACGGCAGGCTGCAGGCACAGCTGCGTTACTGCATGTGGACACCTTACCACTGGACCTTCTCCAATAGCTCCGGCATGGGGACATACCTCATACTTGTTTTTCACAGGAGGAATCTGACTTACACCAGCAGAAGGGGTTATGTCATTTTAAGTCCCAGTGATAATAGAGAACCTGAAATTCAAATCTAGGATGCCTGGATCCACGGCATAGGGAGTCTGATCACTGCCCCCCATTTCCCACTGCATTGGCTTCGGGACTATAAAACACCTGCTCACCCAGATGCCCTCTGGCCTTCCTGAGAGAACTGTTCCAACCCAAGAATCTCCATGACAGGAGACAAGGAAAATGCAGAAGATGACAAAGCAAGGGTTTAGTGCAGGATCAGATGACTGGTGTTCTGAAAGCAATGGAGAATGTTAGTAGTGCAGGTTAAAATTAAAAATGGTCATTGCACAGGGCATAGCATTTAAAAAGTAATGAATCACCCCGCTGGCATGGGTCAGTGCTTGAGCTTCAACCTGTGCAAAAAGAGGTCCTTGGTTAGATTCCCAGTCAGAGAGAACATGCCTGGATTGCAGGCTCCAACCCCAGCAGGGTGTGGAGGAAGCAGCGATCAATGATTCCCTCTCATCATTAATGTTGCTTTTCTTAAGATAAGGGACTCAATTTTCTTTAATTTTTAATTGATTTCATAGAGGAAGAGAGTCCGAAAGATAGAAACATCAATGATGAGAATCAGTGATAAGCTGCCTCCTGCAAGCCCCACCTGGTGATCTAGCAGGGGGCCCACGCATGTGCCCTGAGGGGCAATGGAACTGTGACCTCCTGGTTCATAGGTAGACTGAGCCCCCTTCGCCTGGCTATCCCAACTTCTGCCCATGGGCCAGAAAGTTTCAATCTCACTGTATGTGCGTGCCCACACGTGATATTTTGTGGAAGAGCCACACTCAAGGGGCCAGAGAGCCGCATGTGTCTCGTGAGCCGCAGTTTACTGACCATTGGTTTATGAAATCAATAAAACTATTTTAAAAATCAATTAAATATGTGTATTAATTTAGTAGAATAAATTAAAATATTTTAAAATATATTTTTATTGATTTCACAGAGGAAGGGAGAGGTAGAGAGAGAGAAACATCAATGATGAGAGAGAATGATTGATTGGCTGCCTCCTGCAGTCCCAACACTGGGGAGCACGCAACCAGGGCACCTGCCCTTGACTAGAAACTCACCTGGACCTTTCAGTCCGAAGGCTGATGCTCTATTCACGGAGCCAAACCAGCTAGGGCAATTAAAATATTTTTTAAGGAAAAAAATATTGAAATATATTATTCCAATACAAAAAAATGTTTATTTTTTATAGTAAAAATGCACTAAATGAGTGAAATGCCAACATCCATCTTTGTTGTTCCACAATCCTTTTGTTAAAGAAAACTGCCTAAACTCATAGCACATCAGGCAGAGCATATGATGTTTTAAGAAAGATACAGGCTCAGGAAACACACTTTTGAGAGAAAGCTCAGCATAAATTCCTAGAAAAAATACAAACAGTGAAGCAGCACTACAAACATCTCAAAAAAAAAAGTTTAGCACTTACAGATTTGGCTCAGTGGATAGAGCGTCGGCCTGTGGACTGAAGGGTCTCAGATTCCAGTCAAGGGAATATACCTTGGTTGCGGTCACATCCCCAGTGTGGGGTGTGCAGGAGGCAGCTGATTGATGTTTCTAGCTCTCTATCCCTCTCCATTCCTCTCTGTAAAAAAAATCAATAATATATATATATATATATTTTTTTTTTTAAAAGTTTAAATCAATTCTTGACTGATCAAATTATTCTCTAGGATGTGGAGAATGTGAATCCCTAACACACTGCTGAAAAATGTAAAAAACTACAATCAGTCAAAGTTTATTTTCTATTTTTAAAGAATAGCTTAGTAATTTTTAGAGAGAAGGGTGAGGGAGAGAAACATTGATGAAAGAGCCCCCCCATGCACACCCACTTCTGTGGATCTAGCCCACAAGCCAGACCCTGGTGGTATATTCTGGTTAGATCACAATTTGCTAATGTCTGTAAATTTAAACATTCATCTACTCAAAAACCCAGACTATGCACTGAATTTTTGACAAAGGTAAATAACACACACACACACACACACATATATGTAAAATTACACAGAGATGTTTGTACGAGACTTTTTAGGAAATAAACAAATATTTAAATGGACAAACTGATGGTGATATATCAATGATAAGAATATCTATCAGAGCCCTAACTAGTTTGGCTCAGGGTATACAGTGCTGGCCTGTGGACCAAAGGGTCCCAGATTCGATTCTGCTCAAGGGCATGTACCTTGGCTGCAGGCACATCTCCAGTAGGGAAGGTGCAGGAGGCAGCTGATGGACTGAGCGATGTTTCTAACTCTCTACCCATTTCACATCCTCTTTGTAAAATCAATAAAATATATGTATATATTTTTTTCAGAGCTTTTATATTTGAGCATTTGTGTTTATTCTTCATTGAACTTTTTAAAACATTACTATACTTGAATATTAAAACAAAAACCAAAGCAAGTAGTGAGCATATTAAGGTCACAGTCCTTCACTCATTCACTACTGTATATAAAATGCCAGCAGTGAGTGTTATTCACTGGCCCCATTAAGAGGTCTGACACTGAACACCACCCCTAGGATGATGGTCATCATCTTCATATGCTTCTGCATTGTAATGGCACCATCTTTCTTGATTTGGATCAAAAGTCCACCATTACAAACCAAAGAGACATGAGACTGGCAGTTCTTCCACTGATGACTCAGGCACTCAATAAATTCATCACTGGCATTCAGGGAAAGCATTCCCCCTGCAACATGTATACTGGGGCCAACAGTAATAAGTCCTAGGTGGCAACGCATAACAGGGAAACAAGAAAGAACTATGGGATCAGGTATTCTTCATTTTCTTCAACAAAAAAGACAGCAGAGTTAGCTTTGCTGGGCACATGAGGATGGAGATTGATGGCATTTGTAGGGACCTTATAGGTGGTTCAGGTGAAATACCATCAACAACAGAAATAAGAAGGGGCATAGATCTGGCAGGACATCTCTGTATGTTAGCAAGTGCAACATAATTACAGAGTGATCCAACATAAAACAAAGACAATAACTAAAACACTAATCGGAAGTTTACATAATGTAGGTGATTAAATGTATGAGACACAATTCCGAAAAATGAGGATTCACAAATTTTCTTGTACTAATGTTAAGTCCTAACTAAGAAACTACATTTCCTACACATCTAAGAAATTTCTCACATTTGGCCTCATATATGCGGAGAGCGAATTTAGAAATTTGGCTGAGAGATACCTCATATTAATTGCACTCATAATGGCTTTTCCCCATTGTGAACTCTCTGATGATATTCGAGACCATTGGGACCTTTAAAAGTTTTCCCACATTCATTGCATTGATAAGGCTTTTCTCCAGTGTGAACTCTCTGATGATATTGGAGACCATTGGGACCTGTAAAAGTTTTCCCACATTCATTGCATTGATAAGGCTTTTCTCCAGTGTGAACTCTCTGATGATACTGGAGACCATTGCAACCTGTAAAAGATTTTCCACATTCACTACATTGGAAAGGCTTTTCTCCTGTATGAACTCTCTGATGACGATGAAGGACCGTCTTACTAGCAAAAGATTTTTGACATTCACTACATTGATAAGGCTTTTCTCCAGTGTGAATTCTCTGATGATATTGGAAACCTTTTCTACTTTTAAAACATTTCCCACATTCGCTGCATTTATAAGGCTTTTCTCCCGTATGAACTCTCTCATGACGACGAAGGTCAATCTTAATGGCAAAAGATTTTCCACATTCACTGCATTGATAAGGCTTTTCTCCAGTGTGAACTCTCTGATGATATTGGAAACCACTGAAACTTTGAAAACATTTTCCACATTCACTGCATTTAAAAGGCTTTTCTCCCGTATGTACTTTCTGATGAAGATGAAGATAGTTCTTACAGGTATAAGATTTTCCACATTCACTACATTGAAAAGGCTTTTCTCCTGTATGAACTCTCTGATGATGATGAAGGACTATCTTAGTGGTAAAAGATTTTTGACATTCAGTGCATTTATAAGGCTTTTCTCCTGTATGAAGTCTCTGATGATAATGAAGGGAAGTGCGCTGGGTAAAAGACTTTTCACATGCACTACATTGATAAGGCTTTTCTCCAGTGTGAACATTCCGATGATATTGAAGACCTACTCTACTTTTAAAAGATTTTCCACATTCACTGCATTTATAAGGTTTTTCTCCCGTATGAACTCTTTGATGACAATGAAGGGCGGTCTTACTGGTAAAAGATTTTTGACATTCACTGCATTGATGAGGCTTTTCTCCAGTGTGAACTCTCTGATGATATTTGAGACTTTCTCTAGATTTAAGTGATTTTCCACATTCACTGCATTTATAAGGCTTTTCTGCCGTATGAACTCTCTGATGACGATTAAGTTCGTACTTAGCGGGAAAAGACTTCCCACATTCACTACATTTGTAAGGCTTTTCTCCTCTATGAAGTCTCTGATGATTATGAAGGACATTGCTCTGGGTAAAAGATTTCCCACATTCACTACATTGATAAGGCTGTACTCTAGTGTGAACACTCCGATGATATAGGAGACCTCCTCTACTTTTAAAGGGTTTTCCACATTCACTGCATTTATAAGGTTTTTCTCCCGTATGAACTCTCTGATGATGATGAAGGACGGTCTTAGTGGTAAAAGATTTTTGAGATTCACTGCAATGATAAGGCTTTTCTCCAGTGTGAATTCTCTGATGATATTGGAGACCTATTCTACTTTTAAAACATTTCCCACATTCAATGCATTGATAAGGCTTTACTCCCATATGAACTCTCTGATGACGATGAAGGACCGTCTTACTAGCAAAAGATTTTTGACATTCACTGCACTGATAAGGCTTTTCTCCAGTGTGAAGTCTCTGATGATATTGGAGACCAGTGCTACTTAGAAAACATTTTCCACATTCACTGCATTTAAAAGGGTTTTCTCCCCTATGAAATCTCTGATGACAATGAAGGTATGTCTTCTGGGTAAAAGATTTTCCACATTCACTGCATTGAAAAGGCCTTTCTCCTGTATGAACTCTCTGATGACGATGAAATTTGGACTTATAGGTAAAAGATTTACCACATTCAGTGCATTGATAAGGCTTTTTTCCAGTGTGAACCCTCTGATGATATTGAAGAACACTGCTCCTTGTAAAAGATTTCCCACATTCACTGCATTTATAAGGCTTTTCTCCCTTATGAACTCTCTGATGTTGATGAACATCATTCTTAGCGATAAAAGATTTTCCAGATTCAATGCATTGATAAGGCTTTTCTCCAGTGTGAACTCTCTGTTGAAAATGAAAACCATAAAATTTGGTAAAATATTTACCACATTAAGAGCACACATAACAACCACTCCCAAGATGGACACCTTTTTTCTGAATAAATGTGTGGGAGCAACTAATGTCTTTCTTACATTCTTTTCTGCTGAAATAATTTTTTCTCCTTTGAAATGCCAGCACACTCATCAAAATAGCATTTGGGCTGTCCCTGGGCTGAGTAGCCTTTAGGTGGAGATGTCCTGAGCCATTACGGACACCCTGCCCAACATCCCTGCATGTGAAATGATTCTGGGACACATTGAACTTCCAGCTGTTTGCAAGTGACAGCCTTTCCACACCTCTAATGAAAGTCTTCTCTCTCACATGCTTTGGTGAAATTTTGCACACAAAGAAAATCTTTTTACACATGCCCCACATCTCAACAGTATCTGTCTGTGTTGTGTTCCCTGCAGCTCCATCACGTGCAAAATGTTTCCCAGGACTAGCCCACAACTCTCACAGGGTGACTCTTCTGGGAAGACAGGGTAAATTTGGATTCCTTGCCTGTGACAATCTTCCAGAAACCTTTTGCTCAGTCAGGAACTCCACATTCTCTTCTCCACAGCAGCAACCTGAAAACAAGGAAACGTAGCTGAAGTGCGTGTTGACCTAATAAAAACAGAATATCTTCCACACAGATGTTTCTCTGTCATGACTAGACATGATTCCCTACAACGATTTTCAAGACGAGTGAGTCAGACTCTCAGGAAATGGCTGTTATATATAACATGGCCCAAAAGGTCACTGGATGAGGAAAATCTCACTAAGGGAGGACAGAAGCATAGGCTGGCACAAAAAGAAGAGAGGTAGTGTCTGGTCATTATTACTCCACAAATGGCTTCCTTTAGGACCTTTCATGCTGGTGATATGAGTCCGTGTAGAATAATTTCAATATGATCAAAACCATAAATGATCAATCCAATTAGAGCACGTGATGTTCAACGCCAACATAATAACACATGTGCACTCTAAGGCCTGAAGGTATGGAACAGTATTGTAGTGAAATAAAGAGAGATTTGTGAAAGAGGTAGAGGTGCAAAGTTTAGAGAGGTTAAGGTTATCCACGGGCTGGGAATCCGAGTGGAATGATCAGTATTAAAACTGAAAAGTGTCAACATTAAGTAAGAAGAAGTAGAATTGGGTGAGGAGTGGGCAATGGTAAGACAACATTGTTGAACAAAATGGGTTCCTAGTTATGAATGTAACAAAGCCCATGCGTGAAAACTGTCCCACAGCCCTTCACCAAGGCAAGACTGCCTCCGGGTCTAGCCCAGAGGTCCTCAAACTACGGCTCGTGGGCCACATGCAAATACAAATATTGTAATTGTTCCCTATTTGTTTTCTTACTTCAAAATAAGATATGTGCAGTGTGCATAGGAATTTGTTCATAGTTTTTTTAAAAACTATAGTCCGGCCCTTCAACAGTCTGAGGGACAGTGAGCTGGCCCCCTGTTTACAAAGTTTGAGGACCTCTGGTCTTGACTATCATTGATAAAGTCATGTTTCTCCTGTGATGCACAAAGGATTCTGCCTCTTAAATCCCAGTTGAGCCACTGCATGGGATAAATGATGCAAATCTTTTTTTTTTTTTTTAATATATTTTATTGATTTTTTACAGAGAGGAAGGGAGAGAGATAGAGAGTTAGAAACATCGATCAGCTGCCTCCTGCACGCCTCCTACTGGGGATGTGCCCGCAACCAAGGTACATGCCCTTGACAGGAATCGAACCTGGGACCCCTGAGTCCCCAGGCTGATGCTCTATCCACTGAGCCAAACCAGTCGGATAAATGATGCAAATCTTAAAAAGAAAAACTAAAAAGATGGATGGTCAGCACTGTGGTAGAACAACAAAGCACAAAGGAGATCACAGACAAAAGACCTATGAGAGTGACATCAGCAAGATGGCAGAATGAGAGACAGAGAATCTTTCCCCATCCCAGAGTAAGTAGACACCTATCCATGAGAAAAACATTCCATAGGAAATGGGAATAAGAGTACCATGAAGACAAATAGGAATACAGAATACCAAATAAGGACAACTGCATAGAAAGGATGACAGTAAATTGGGTGAGGAAGCACATTTGAGAATACCTAAGGTCAAAAACAAGGGTTAATAATAACTAAATAACAAACGAACTGACTAAGTAAATAAATAAATACAATAAGGGTCAGCTCTAGCTGGTTTACTCAGTGGATAGAGTGTCAGTCTGGGGACTGAAAGGTCCTAGGTTCAGTTCCAGTCAAGGTCACAGGCCGATTTTGTTGTGGATTCAGTTCCAGTAAGGGGGCATGCAGGAGGCAGCTTACCAGTGATACTCTCTCATCATTAATGTTTCTATCTGTCTGTTTCCCTTCCTCTGAGAAATCAATAAAAATGTATTAAAACAAAAGTGTTAGTCCTAGCTGGTTTAGCTCAGTGGATAGAGCATCAGCTTTTAGACTAAAGGGTCCCAGTTCCATTCAGGGCAAAGGCACATGATCGCTGGGGGACCTGCAGGAGGCAGCCAATCAATGATTCTCTCTCATCATTGATGTTTCTATCTCTCATTCTATCTCCCTTGTTAAATCAATAAAAATATATTTAAATAAATAAATAAAAATAACGGGTTAGCGTTACCACTATCAGCCACTGTGCTTCTATTCTCATTCATCCTAGTGGCCTGTTCTCTAAAAAACTAGAAATTTTTTATTTTAAACACCACAAAAAACAACCAAACAAAAAAAACAACACACCACAGATTGCCCTGGTCAGTGTGGCTCAGTTGGATGGAGCATCCTCCAGTGTATCGAAGGGTGGTGGGTTCGATTCTCAGTTAGGGCACATATCAGAATGAGGTTTTCATATCCGGTTTGCATGTTTGCAGAAGGCAGCCAGCAGATTGATTTTTCTCCCCCACCTCTATCTCTTTCTCTCTTTCTCCATTTCTCCTCCTCTCTATGTAAAAGGAATCTAATTATATAAACAGCTAGGGGCCCTGGCGGCCTAAATGACCGAACTGACAACTGAACACCGGAAGTCAATCCTGACCCGGCACTGACTGCCGAGTCTGGAAGTCTGGCAGCGCCAGGCGGGAGTCAGAGGTGGGAGTCAGTCCCGGGAAGGTGTCATTTCCGGGTCATGTAAGTGGAAACCGTAAGATATAGAAACATGGAAGACCTATCCCTCCACCTGAGGAGCTATTGGCAGAAGTATAGTAGGGAACCAGAACTCCCACCAACTGAGAACAATAACAAATACCCATTTCGCCCCCCACCCCCACCGCCTCACACACACACAGACACCTACAAATCCTGGGCCAAGTGGGGAACCTGGACTTCTACTCTCTTCTTGAAATAATGAGATGGCATCTCACCCTTCCCTTAAAAGAGCAGTAACAAAGCAACCCAGATAAAACGGCTTGAAAAGATCCAAAGTTTCATAATGCTCAACATTTCTAGGTGTCAATTATCAAATTAGTCATACAAAGAAGCAGAAAGATCTAAAACTGAATAAAAAAGATAATAGAGACTAACACTATTAGTGATGATAGAGTTATTTGATAATAAGTTTAACGCAGCCATCAAAACAATCTTTACATGAGTGATTTTGAACATCCTTAAATGGGAAAAAAAGCAAGTTATGGCAAGTAAATAGAAAGTCTCAGCAAAGAAAATGAAGCTATAAAGAAAACCAGATGAAAATAATAGTACAGAAGACTATAATAACTGAAATAAATAATTCAGTGAATAGGCTGAAAGCAGAAAGGATAAAACAGAGGAAACACATAGGGAACTAGAAAATATAACCATAAAAATATTCAATGAGAATAGAGAGAAAACGGGCTTGAAAACAGCAACAGAAAAAGATCAGAACCACAGGAACCAGTGGAGTCATAACAACAAAAACAACAATAGAAAACACACCACAAAATAAAACTGTAACATTTGGAGTCCAAGAAGAAATAAAAGAAGATGGAGCTGAAAGAGTACTTGAAGAAATAATGGCTGAAAAATCTTCCAATTGGTCAAAAGACAGAAATCCTCAATTTTAGAAGGAGAGCAAATACAAAATGAAATAAACCCAAAGATAGCAATTACCCATATCATAGTCAAATTTCTGAAAAATAAAAACAAAGAAAAGAATCTTGAAAGTTCTGAATGACAAATAGCACTTCATCTATAAGGAAAAAGTAACTCTCATGACAATACGTTTTCTTTTTCTTTTTTTAAATATATTTTATTGATTTTCTACAGAGAGGAAGGGAGACAGAGGGTTAGAAACATCGATGAGAGAGAAACATCGATCAGCCGCCTCCTGCACATCTCCTACTGGGGATGTGCCCGCAACCCAGGTACATGCCCTTAACCGGAATCGAACCTGGGACTCTTGAGTCCGCAGGGTGACGCTCTATCCACCGAGCCAAACCGGTTTCGGCTACAATACGTTTTCCATTAGAAACCAGAAAGTCTAAAAATAAAAGAACTGTCAACAGAGTCCTATTTCCAGTGAAAATATCCTTCAGCAATATGGGGAAAATCAAGGCTCCTCAGGAAAGAGAACACAAATGTAAAGAAGAATTGATAAAGGATAATATCCAAATCTCAAAAAATAAATGAAATATATTCAATATCATCTCTCTAGGTAAACTCAAATTTGTTCCTCCAGTACTTACTTACCAGGATAGCTAAAATTAAATAGATTTATAATATTAATTATTGGCAAGTATCTGCAGGATCTGGAACTCTCAGTCACTGCTGGTGGTTGTATCACTTGGATAAAAGGATGTGCAAAATGGTACCTTCTGCCCTAACTGGTTTGGCTCAGTGGATGGAGCACTGGCCTGAGCACTGGGGGGTCTCGGGTTCGATTCCAGTCAAGGGCATGTACCTTGGTTGCGGGCAATTCCCCAGTGGGAAAGTGCAGGAGGCGGCTGACCGATGTTTGTCTCTCATCGATGTTCCTAACTGTCCATCCCTTTCCCTTCCTCTCTGTGGAAAAATCAATAAAATATATTTAAAAAAAAAAAAAGAAGATCCAATTCTGCCACTCAGTAACCTTGAAAAATGAAAGAAGATTTATCCTGATTAAGAACTCTGAAGAGGGGAAAAACCAAGATGGCGGCACATGATCTCACTCATTCATGGATAATAAAGACCATTACAAACTTTTGAACAATAATAGATACAGAGGCAGAGCTGCCTCAAACTGATTGTCAAACTGCAGTGGGAAGACCAGGGAGGGTTGGGGGGCAGGAGGGAGGGGGGTAAGAGATCAACCAAAGGGGATGGCGGCATAGGTAAACACCGGAGTTTGCTGCCTCGAACAACCACTTCAAAAATACAACTAAAAGACGGAACGGACATCACCCAGAACCACAGGAAGGCTGGCTGAGGAGGGACTCTTCAACTAGAAGGAAAAACAACAGCATTACGAGGCTTAGAGGAGGCGCAGTGTGGAAAATTTAAAGGTACGGTGGTGCGGCGGTGCGCGCGCAAAGCGGGCTGGTGGCTGAGGGCGCGGTTGTCGTTTTCAGTCGGGAGTGAGTCTCAGACTCTGGGCTACAGATCCGGGCGAGTCTCTAGGGACCCAGA